TCGGCCCGTGATGTCCCCAGTGTTACTGTGGACGGGGAAGGTCGGCGATGCGTCTGCGTTCCGTGTCTGGGGATCTCGGGCGTTTGTCCGCGACTTGTCTGCGGACAAGCTGTCCCCCCGTGCTGCTCCCTGTGTCTTCCTTGGCTTCCCCCCTGACGCTCCAGGGTGGCAGTTCTACCACCCCTCCTCTCGTCGTGTTCTGTCCTCCCAGGACGTCACGTTCGACGAGTCAGTCCCCTTCTACCGCCTCTTCCCCTACCGTACTCCTTCCCTTCCCCCCCCACCGGACTTCCTGGTACCAGTTCCCCCCCCCGTAGACCCCTCCCCCCTCAGGTTCCTGCCCCTTCAGGTGTGTCTCAGGTAGACACGGTCGAGCCAGTCGAGGTTGCTGCTGAGTCTGGTCCTGCTGCGGGTGCTGAGCCTGGGGGTGCTGCCGCTGGGGGTGCTGGGCCTGGGGGTGCTGAGCCTGGGGGTGCGAGGCCGGGGGGTGCTGAGTCTTGGGGTGCTGAGCCGGGGGGTGCTGAGCCGGAGGGTGCTACGTCAGGAGCTGCTGAGCCTGGGGGTGCTGGGCCTGGAGGTGCGGAGCCTGCGCCTGCTGGACCTGGGGGCTCTCCGGTTCTTCCGTCTCGGCGGGAGCCGCTCTCTCCACAGGAGCTGCGCGAGTGGTTTGCTCGCCGCTGGAGGCGTGCTGCTGGAGCTGGAGCTTCTTCGCCTGCTGAGGGTGCTGCCGGTCCCGGAGCTGCTAGGCCTGCGGGTCCTACTGGAGCTGGAGCTACTGAGTCTGGGGGTGCTGAGTCTGGAGCTGCTGAGCCTGGAGGTGCTGAGTCTGGAGCGGCTGTGCCTGGGGGTGCTGAGTCTGGAGCTGCTAAGCCTGGGGTTTCTCCTGCTGCTGCGTCTCGCCGGGAGCCCCTCTCTCCACAGGAGCTGCGTGAGTGGTTTGCTCGCCGCTGGAGGAGTGCTGCTGGAGCTGGAGCTTCGTCGACCGTCGAGGGTGCTGGTGCTGCCGGTCCCGGAGCTGCTGGGCCTGCGGGTCCTACTGGAGCTGGAGCTGCTGAGGGTGTTGGTGCTGAGACTACTGCTGTCTGTCCTGGCGGTGGTTCTGCTGCTGGTGCTGCTGGAGGTCCTGCCGCTGGAGGTGTTGGTGGCGCTGGTGCTGTCGCTGAGGGTGCTGGTGCTGTCCCTGCTGATTCTGGAGCTCCCGCGCGGCCTCGGCCGTACTTCGTTCCGCTCCTACAGCAGGTTCTTGGTCTTTCTCCTTCGGTAGAGTGTCCACAGCCTGTCCAGTCGCTGTCACTGTTAGAGCCTTCCTCTCCTCTGCCTGCTCCCTCTCCTTACACTGGTCCTACTGGAGGTCTTGCTGAGCGTCGTGAGCCTGCGTCTCGTCCCGCGTCGCCTGTTCGTGCTGCTCGCGCTAGTGGTCGCGGTTCGCGTCAGCGTCCTCCTCCTGTCCCTGGCACGCACCGGATGTCTCTGCGTCCGTCCACTGCTCCTCTGCGTGCCCCTTTGCCTTCTCCTCCTGAGTCCTCTCTTCCTGCGCTTGCCGACCCTGAGTCGGACTCTCTTCGCGCTGCCACTCCTACTGTCACGCGTCTGCTTGCTACTGTCGTCACTGACCCCTCTTTTGAGTCCACTGCTGCGTCTGCTCTAGTCGCTGAGCTCGTTGACTTTGCTGCTCGCTGTCGTCTCGACTACGCTGCTGGTCTTGTTGCTGAGTCTGCGTCTGTCTGTCCTCCGTCCGTCGGGGGTGAGTGTGCTCTTGGCACGGACGTCCTAGAGGACAGACAGGAGGAGTTACAGTGTCTAGCGGCTGCTTCACCTCATCTCGCGTCTGTTCTGCTTGCCCCTGAGGGAGACCCGGATGCACTAGACATCCCGACTCCGCGTTATTACGCGGAGGCCGTAGAGGGTCCCTACTCCTCTCAGTGGCAGGCAGCTATGGATGCAGAGATGGCTTCCTGGAAGTCCACAGGCACCTACGTTGACGCGGTTCCCCCTCCTGGGGCGAACATCGTCAGTGGCATGTGGATCTTCAGGGTGAAGCGGCCGCCGGGCTCTCCACCTGTCTTCAAGGCGCGGTACGTTGCTCGTGGCTTCAGTCAGCGGCAGGGAGTTGACTACTTTCAGACCTTCTCTCCCACCCCGAAGATGACCACTCTTCGGGTGCTGCTGCACATAGCCGCTCAGCGCGACTACGAGCTTCACTCTCTCGACTTCAGCACTGCGTTCCTGCAGGGTAGCCTGCACGAGGAGATCTGGCTACGCCGTCCACCTGGCTTCACTGGGACTTTCCCTCCTGGCACCCAGTGGAGCCTCCGACGGCCAGTCTACGGTCTCCGCCAGGCACCGCGTGAGTGGCACGACACACTGAGGACTACGCTTGCGGCTCTTGGGTTTGCTCCTTCTACTGCTGACCCGTCGCTGTTTCTGCGCACCGACACTTCACTGCCGCCGTTCTACATCCTCGTGTACGTCGACGACTTGGTCTTTGCCACAGCGGACACTGCTGGACTCGCCTACGTGAAGTCCGAACTGCTGAAGAGACACACGTGCACAGACCTGGGTGAACTGCGCAGCTACCTTGGCTTGCAGATCACTCGGGACAGAGCACGCCGCACCATTACCTTGACTCAGTCACACATGGTGCAGCAGGTCCTTCAGCGCTTCGGCTTCACGTACTCCTCGCCTCAGGCCACTCCTCTGCCTACTCGCCACTCACTCTCAGCTCTGCCTTCGGATGAGTCCGTAGAGTCGAGTGGTCCGTATGCAGAGCTTGTTGGCTGCCTCATGTACCTGATGACCTGCACACGACCTGACCTTGCATACCCTCTGAGCATTCTTGCACGCTATGTTGCTCCTGGGAGACACAGACCAGAGCACATGGCTGCAGCGAAGAGGGTATTGCGCTACCTGTGCAGTACGTCGGGCATGGGGCTTGTGCTTGGAGGGCGGAGTCCAGTGGTCCTTACCGGCCACGCGGACGCTTCTTGGGCTGACGACCAGGCTACGCAGCGGTCGTCACAGGGTTACACCTTCAGCCTTGGTTCCGGCTCTGTCTCGTGGCGGTCTACTCGCTCGTCTTCGGTTCTCGGCTCCAGTTGTGAGGCTGAGATCTACGCCGGGGCCATGGCTGCACAGGAGCTTCGCTGGCTCACCTACCTGCTGACTGACCTTGGAGAGCCGCCTCGTTCTCCTCCAGTGCTGTACGTAGACAACAAGGCCATGCTGGCCTTGTGTCGAGAGCAGCGCTTGGAGCACAGAACGAAGCACATTGCTCTCCGCTACTTCCTTGCTCGTGAGCTGCAGCAGCGTGGTCAGTTGCGACTTGCGTACGTGGCCTCTGAGGCCAACACTGCTGATGTGTTCACCAAGGCACTCGCGCCTTGTGATCATCAGCGCTTTTGCACCCAGCTGGGTCTTGTGTCTGTCTTGCCTCACTTGCTCTCCTCTTGACTTTACTTGTACTGTGACATATTTATATACCTGCTCTTGCTTGTCTAGTTTTATATATATGTCTGTACTCCTGCATGTGAACTGGCCTCTGGCCCTGCTCTTGTGCTCGGACTGTGTGGTGACTTTGTGATCCACCCTGAGCTTGCTTTGCTTTGCTTGACTGGTCTTGTGACCCCTTGTTCTCCCCCACTTTGCCTATGGGGGTGTGTCAAACATTATATATGTTATGCTTGTGTAGGCTACAGTGGGTTAGCCTATAGGGGGTACACAATTCTAGGGTTTACTACTTGTACTCATTTCACTTCTAGTTCACACATTCCTGTTCGCTTATTCTCACATTCTCTGGAATTCTCTGATATAGCTGATTCAGGATTGTAGAAACCTGTAGAAACCTGTAGACACTTCTTGTTGAGAGCAATTCTGAATTGTATCGAGTCTTCGGCTGAAATCTGATTGGTTGCGGAAGTTTCTGAATATTCCGTGAAGTCTTCGATCCGTCGCCGACATTCCCTTTTTGCTGCTCTTTGTGTGCAAAGGGCTGGGGCGGCAGAATCTCCATTCTCCAAGAGGATGCAGTGGTGATTGAGCAGGACAATATTCGAGGCCTTGTTCAGTAGGCACCCAAGCCTGACTGAGGGTGGATCGGGAGCAGGGCTTCAGATTCGTTTTGGGCCACCCTTAGTAATCGGGGTTCTAGGTATAGTCAACCCTGATGCGTTGGGTAATTTGTTTTTTCCGCTGACAAATGCAGGGTAAAAGTACAGCAGTCTGTATGGGCAGGGTATTTTTTAAAAATATTGTTAATAAATAATTTAAAAATCCCGAAATTCTGTAGTTAGTGGCTCAGCTGATCCAATTGTGATATAAATCTAGTAGGTCGCACGTTCGAATTCGTTGAGTAACAATTTTGCAGGGGCCTGTATAGTGTTTCGTCTCGCTACGGAGCGCTCGGTACCAGTATAGCTGGGATTGTACATTGTACAGTCAGAGTAAAGAGTTCCTTAGCTGTTTTTCAAAGGGTGTTGAAAAACTTACACTTTCGGGCCTAGGGTAAAAAATCCACTACCCTGCCTGTGAAAGGTTAACTGAAAAAATGCAGCCACCAGTCAGTGCAAAAAGGGTATTTTACCCTGATAACGAGAGGCCTGATCGGGAGTCTTCTTTGGGGACGTTTAAAGCCCCAAACCGTTATGGGAACACCCAACGAATCAATTTGCAACTCGGTCTGGGAGCAACTCAGAGTGACGAAGCCGAGGAGGACATTTCCTCCGCATTTCCTTTCTGATCCCTCGAGGGTCAAATGTGGATCCTCGTTGTGCGCCAGCCGAACAGGGCCTACGATTCTCATTCCCTATTCGTGGTACGGTACTGGCTGGAATGCTGCGAAGGGATGACTGTACAAGCCCACTCATATACGGTAATAAACAATCCACAAAAGCAAGCACACCAATCCATAAAATAAACAAAAGCGATGCGGCCCACAATAGGCCAATTTCAGTGTCACTAGACACCATACCACACTCCTTCCTGAGCAGCTCACACAGCAACAGCTAGTTGCCTCGAATCATGAGCCACACAAACAGCAACGGCGCCATGGCCAGAATCGTCCATGGCAGCAGCTGAATCAGCATCTTCTCCTGCTTCGTCTCCACATACTTAGTCTTGGGCATATACCGCCCAAACCCCGACAGGAACATGCGGTACATATAATCATCAAACAGCGACGTCTCTTTCGCCTCCTCCGCGTCCGTGCCGAAGAGAGCCTGTGCGGCGCGGCGCTTGATGTTGGGGTAGGGCGCGCGGAACTGGATGAGCGACTCGTACAGGCTCTTGGCCTCGGCCTCCCGCCCGAGCTTCTCCAGGCAGGCAGCCTTCTGGAGGGTGGCCTCGCCGTGGTGGTATGACTGCTCGCCTGCTTGCTTCAACACCTTGTTGTAATGCGCCATTGCTGTCTCGAAATTGCCCTGGAGGAGGCAAGGAAATATGGAAGGTACATGGGATGACGGCTAGATCTAGGGCACTCAACAAAAACACGCAGGCTGCTTCAGCGCCTTGTTGTAATGCGCCATTGCCGTCTCGAAATTGCCCTGGAGGGTAAATGGACGGGTGGGAGGGCATGTGGCAGGAGTTAGGACCTTAGCAGAAGGACACAGGCTGCTTAAGCACCTTGTTGTGAAATGCCAGGGCATTGGATTCATGCTGGCACCATCCTATCAATGCTGGGAACGAACGGAGCATGAAGCATCAATCCTGGCACATGCTTGACGAGCGCTTCCATTCAAGGGGTAATATTCATACGCGCCTAACATTCTCCCCACATGAAAACTGTGGGGGTGGGTTACGTTCTGCTTGCATTCTCGCTCCACATTCATTCGCTTTGCACATCGGAAGATAGCGGGAACGGAGTGGGGTGTAGGAGAGTGAATGGAGGGGGGAGGTTTTGAAGGGAGCGGAGAATGGAGGGGTAAGAAAGAACAACCATGCATGCTTGTAGATTACGTGATCGTTGCGTTGTTCAGTTGTGATATGGCCATCCATAATCAAAACACGTTCTGAGTAGCAAAAAGCGGCTGTGCGTGGCGTCATCGCTCACAGCACGTACGCACCTGGTCGAACATCAGCTCGCCTAACTTGACTTCCTGATCCAGATGCGCTCTCGCCGCATTCTCCCTCAAATTATCGAGTTTCATCACGTTCCAAAGCAACACATAACATCATCTGGACTGGACCAGAGATTCTGGTCCAGATACGCTCACGCCGCGTCCTGCCTCAGCTTCTCATGTCTGAATCCGTCTCAGAACAGCCTATGGCGCGTACGCACGTGGTCGAAGTCTTGCCGGACTTGAGCTGGTGGTCCAAATGCGCTCTCGCCCCGCCAGCCTCAGATTCTAAAGCTTTAAGACGTCCCGAAACAGCTTACAGCGCGTACGCACCTGGTCGAACATCATCTTGCCGAACTTGAGCTCGTGGTCCAGGTGCGCCCTGGCGGCGTCCTGCTTGAGCTTTTCCTCGCGCTCCTTCAGCTCCGCCGCGATCTTCTTCTGCGCCGCCGCCACCAGCCGCGCCTTCTCCTCCTCGCTTATCTCGTTCTGCGCCGCCGAACCGCGCCGTAAAGCGGCCGAACGAAAGGGAAAGTTCGGGAAAGAAACGAAATCAAGAAACGGTCACGGAGAATGATGAACGGTACCATGATGTATCGCTACCATGATGTATCGTATTAATATGGTGGAAATAACGAGTAGATGAGAGAGCGAAGGGCAGCAAGGGAGGACATACAAGATTAACATGCGGTTCAACTCCAAAGGGCTTGCCCCTCGCGATTCCCGTCGACCTTGGCCGGTGTGTAGAAGAAGCATCGCCACTGCCGATGGAACGAGGTGGCGGAGATGCCGTTAATCGTTGTGACGCGGATGAGCTTTCCGCCTTCGCAGCCACCACGGGAGCGCTGAGCGCGCTCTGCGTTAGTGCTGCTACTGTGCACGCCATGAGGGGTAATTGGCGTAGATAACTTTAAGAACCTGATAAACTTCTGGGCACCTAATAACCTGTGGGATAACAGCGAGATATAAAAGGTCGTGAAAGGAGAGCGAGCAGTGTTCACCTAAAATGGGAGCCTCAAGCTTGAATCCGACAACTGCTCGTCTGTTGCGACGTTTCTGGCGTAAAATGAACACAGGATGATGGACAGAACAAGCTTGTTGCTTGAAGCGTGTCACAAAAGCTTGGTAATGTGGCTAAGGCTGGGAAACAGGAAAGTAGGTATGGTGACGAAGCGTATGGCTGAGTGGGTAGAGCGTACACACTATCTGTAGATTTGCTTAGGGAGTCAGATTGGTAGCGTTTGAGTTTCACTTGAGTGACACAGCCGAGATGCGAACGACATTGGTTCGTCCCTAGAGCGGTTCAAACTAGTGAGGAGCAAGGCCTTGGGCAAGAAGTTAGGTTCAGAGTGACTTCGTTGCGCAGGAGGGTCGAAGAAGTCCTAGTCAGAACGGCTTCCAAGACATGTCATGCCAAACGTGGTGGTTCGGATGGAAGTGGTTTGGCGTCAACATGTCTTCCCTTCCCACAGATTCGGCACAAACAGCTGGCACAGATTTCCGTGGCTGCTGCAGAGAAAGATCTTCGAGTGGAGCAGATCCACGTCATCTGTGACACGATGGCAGACACTTCTGAATCAGCAGGAAGCATCCATTATTGAGGTTCATCTAGAGTACGGTGTGCGGTGTAGATCATGGAGGTAAGATTGCATACCATGTCTTCAGCTTAGGATAATTTTCCGTCATTACTAGGCCCGACGTCGCTCGCGCGCGAGTTCGCCATCCCTCGGTTGTAACGTGGGGTTCTGTAGGAATTGGGGGTGGGGGGCCGGGGCGGGGGGCCCCGCCCCGCGCCAGCCTGGCGGGGGCCCCCCCGGGGAGTTGGCCGCGAATTCCGATGAGCGATTCAGAGGGGAAAAGCACTGGAACTGAGAGTCGTTCTGAGGACATGTTGAAAGTGCAAGTATCGCAGGATCGTCTGCATATATCGATCCCCACAATCGAGTGGGCAGATCGTTTGGCGAAACATGGCGACCGCGACGTTGTAACGATCGCGGCTGAAAATTGACAGATTTCCCGCGAACAGTGATCAGTCGCATTCTCACAATGTACAGAAATTTTGGCCAGAAAGCGTACTGTAGCATAGTTACAACGTAGTTAATAGGGTAACCGATCCGCACATCGATCGCTACTGACGATCGATCGTCTACTTTGCCCGCGTCCTGAGATTCATAGGTGGTTCCGTTCGTTGGTGACCACGGCGGTGACCGTTCATTCTTTCGCTTTGACCAAAGTAACTTGCCAAGCCCAGCACAGCGGGTCCTCTCCTCCCCCGCCTTGTCTTCATCACGCGCAGAGGCGTTGACTTGGTTGACCGCGTGGCACCAGGGAGCTGACAGTGCATTGTGCCTAGGCTGCGAGTCGCAGCTTCCGTTACAGTCACACCACCACCCGATCGTTAGACGCGCATCCCCCGTACTGTCACGTCTTCCCTGCATGGCTCCGAGCGTGCTCTTGGGCTTGCCTGGCCCATGGGCCAAGGACGATCGTGAGCCGTCCGATCACTATACGACCAAGATCGGCGGCTTACCTGTGAGCAATCCTCGTGCCACACGCATCGTTTGACGAAATCCGTTTCCGCGCCCGCATCTGGCTCCGATCGCTGGCTTTTCTCGACGTCCATCGCCCATCTCCCGTATTTCAGCCCCCCCGTGAAACCCGAACTCAAATTCTTGAACCCTGTACCCCGGCTTTAACTCCGCGTGCCCCCGCCCCCGCGCTCCCCTGTTCCGCCGCGCGTATCCCTCAGGACTGGCCCCCTTGGGCGGATCACCCGCCACCGCATCTGCTGCACTGCGCGCTCTGCCATGGGCCACTCTCCCTCGTGCTGCAGGTGGGTGCCAGTGCGCCCTATGCAGATTATCGTTCTGCCTCTGCTCCCTATCCCCCTTCTCCGCCCCTCCCTCTCCACTCTCCTCCCCCCTTCCTCCCCTCCTCCTCTACGCATTTGGCTTCCACTCACCCCACGCACTCGTCTGGTTCCTCCACTTCTTTTTGTCTTGCCATGTTAACATTATCCGCCGGTGTTGCTCCCTTTTTCCCTTTTTAATATCCTCCGTTTCAACCACAATCCGCTTCGTCTTCCTCCCCGTTCCTGTTTCCTTCCCCGTTCTCCGCCTCATTCCCCCATCTTCAGGCCTATGCCCCGCTCTCCCTTCCCGCAGCAGCAGACAGTGCAGCAGCAGGGGTGACACGTGGCAGCCTGCAAGTGGAGGAGCGGGTGCTGTACATGTTTGCATGCGCCAATGGGGGAAGAGAGGGGGAGAAGGAAGAAAGCGGGGGAACGGGGGGGGATGCTGCCTCCGCCCTCCCCCCATTTGGGGACCTCTCCTCTGTGTTTGGGGACGTGGTGGTGGGGGGAAGCGCGGGCGCAGGGCCGGATGGGGAGGTGGGGGAGGTGGCGGAGGAACTGGGGGGGATGGAGCTGGGGGAGGAAGGCGGAGAGCGAGGGGGGCAAGGGGATGGGCAGGAGGAAAGGGGCGAGACGGGGAAGGAAGAGGTGCAAGGTGGGGTGACGGGGCAGGGAGAAGCGGTGGAGATGTGTGGAGTGGGGAGAGGGGAGGCAGGGGGAGGAGGGGGAAGGAGAGGGCCATGTGCAGCTCAGGCTCAAGGGTGAGGCACTGTGGGCGGGGTGGGTGAGATGCACGGTGAGGGGGGGCATATGGAGGAATCATGGTGGGAGGAGCATGGTGGGGGGAAGCATGGTGGGGGGAAGCATGGTGGGGGGAAGCATGGTGGGGGGAAGCATGGTGGGGGGAAGCATGGTGGGGGGAAGCACGGGCGCATGGCGGGGGGGAAGCATGGCAAGAGGCGCATTGAAGGGGGGCATGGCAGGGGGAGCAGTGGGGGGTGGAGGGGGGGTGGGCATGCAGAGGCCTTGCCGGTTTTGAGCCTTCCCTGGTGAGCCCGCTCTCTTGTCCCTCCTTTGCTCTCGCACTCCCCGGACTTCCGTCTGCCCCCATCCTCCCGTCCTGTGCCCTCTCTGCTCTGCTCCCTGTGCTCTGCTGGCATGCTTCATCGTTTCCCCCCCCCTTGCCCTGGTTGCTGCAGGTGGCGGATCATCCGCCTGCAGCAGCTTCCCTCCCAGCAACCGCCGCCACCACCAGAACAAACGGCACGAGCAGCAGCAGCAGCAGCAGCAGCAGCAGCAGCAGCAGCAGCAGCAGCAGCAGCAGCAGCAGCAGCAGCAGCAGCAGCAGCAGCAGCAGCAGTGGCAGCGTCATCATGGGGGGATGCAAGTTCGTGGGATGCATGCAGCACAGCAACAGGAGACAGCTGGGGGCTCACACCCCCACCCTCAGATGCTTCAGGTGCCCCTTCAGGTGTCACTTCAGGTGTCACTTCCACATCAGGTTCGGAGTGGGGTGTAGCAGCAGGAGGAGAGTGGGGCACTGGCACCGGAGCATGTGACAGTAACGAGTTGGGGTCCCCAGTGGTAACCCCCCCGCTTGCATCTCTTGATGCTCTCTCGGCGTCCCTCAGTGCTGCCGCTGCCAAGGCTGCTGCTGGCACTGCTGGGGAGTCCAATGCAGTGGGGAAGAAGGATAAGAAGGCAGCTGTAGGCAGGGAAGCATCGGCAGGAGGAGCAGCAGGAGCACAGGTGGCATGCTCAAATCTGGGTGCTCTGCGGGTGCTACCATGCTTCTACGTGTTTTCGGAGGAAGAGGAGGCGACAGGCAGAGGCAGAAGCAGGGCAGCAGCATCAGCGGCAGCGGTGCCTGGCTCAAGAGATGGGGCGGATGGGGTGGCAGCGATGCAGGTGGAGGGGGGTGCGGGGGAGGGCGAGAAGTGGGAGGGGGAGGGGTATGAGTACGACCAGGCGCGCACCGTGGGGCGCCCGTACCTGCGCTTCAAGAAGCGCCTCGACAAGCAGCCCCAGCAGTGTGTCAGGTGTGGTGCAGTGCATGTGGTGTGGTGCGGTGTGTGGGTGAGGTGTGGCTTGGTTGGTGCATGGGTTAGGCATGGTGGGGGTGCGAGTGGCAGGTGGGGTATCTGAGCTGCAGCTCAGCTCATTCCGCCACTGTTCATCTTCTGCATGCCTCCATGTTCCCGCCTAACCAGTTACCGCTTCAACGGCCACCCCATCTGGCCCTGCGCCCTGCCTTTCCTCCTCCCAGGCGCATTTAGAACCTGCCCTTTCTGCAACCCCCCCACGGTGTTTGAGCTGCAGCTCATGCCGCCGCTGCTATTCTTGTGCCTCTTCCTCCATCAGGTACCGCTTCAACGGCCAGCCCACCTGGCCCTGCGTCCTGCCTCCCCTCCTCCCAAAAGCATCCCGAGCTTGCCATCTCTGCCACGCCCCCCGCGTGTTTGAGCTAAAGCTCATGCCGCGTGTTTGAGCTAAAGCTCATGCCGCGTGTTTGAGCTAAAGCTCATGCCGCGTGTTTGAGCTAAAGCTCATGCCGCGTGTTTGAGCTAAAGCTCATGCCGCCGCTGCTCGTGTTGTGTCTCCCCATCCATCCCTCCCATCAGGTACCGCTTCAACGGCCACCCCATCTGGCCCTGCGCTCCGCCGCCCCTCCTCCCAGAGGCATCCCGAGCCTGCCCTCTGTGCCACGCCCCCCGCGTGTTTGAGTTACAGCTCATGCCGCCGCTGCTCTTCTACCTGCTGGAGGCTCTCAGGGAGCGGCAGGAAGGGGAGGGTGAGGGCAGTGGGCAGGGTGACGGGGGAAGGAGGGAGGTGGGGTATGGGGAGGTGGCGGAGTGGGAGTGGATGACTGTTGCTGGCTTCACTTGCTCGCAGGTGAGAGTGGTGGTCTGGGAGTGATGGATTAAGGTTGCTGGTGTGGGATTGGTGGAGTGAGAGTGGTGGAGTGGGAATGAAGTGAGGTTCTTTTAGGAAGAGTGGAGGGGCAAATTGGTGAGAGGGGGAGTGACGGAGTGAGAGTGGATGACTGTTGCTGGCATGAGGCAGCGGAGAGGCATGAGGGGAGGAATCATCAGAGTGCAGAGTTGGAAAAGCAGTGCATAGTGGACCGTTGCTGAAGAGCACGTGATATGATATGCAGTGCATGAGCTCATTCAAAAAAAAAAAAAAAAAAAAAAGTGTTCCCTCTTTCACTTGCAGGCCTGTGGCACAACTGACCTGGTCAGTGCGCCAGAAAGGGACGGGAATAATTCGCCATGGCTGATAGCAGAAGAAGCGATTGTGTTGGTCAACGACCAGTAGAGCTCTGCCCTGATGTCATCTAAGGCTTCGCCTATCCGTACTGCTGCCAGTAGAGCTGGAACCTCTCATGATTTTAGGCTTGACTCAGCAGCTCTGGTGCAGATTACACTTACCGTATGTAAACTCTTAAAGATCTTTTATTTTTGTTTCTTGGGCCAACATGAAGCCCTTAGGATCTTTGCAAGGCTAAACTCTGGGTAGGACTTGTTGTAAATGCGGAAGCGTATAATGATGAGTCTTTGAACCACCTTGCGCTGGTATGTGAGGGCAAAGTAGATTGATTAGTCAAAGAGATACAAGGCTTTTATACCTTCATCGCCCGGATATAAGACATAAATGTCTTATCTCGTACACTAGAAAAAATGCCTGGGTTATCTTGTATTTGGGGAGGTTTTGGGTGTCTTAAAAGTCTTATAAATGGACAAAGAACCGTTTAGAAGATACCTGTCAAACATATACTTGTATGATTATAATTGGGTAGGCTGTAGTGGGGTTAGCCTTAGAGGGTACAAAAAAAACAACCTTGACACTAGTCTTGTACCCTAATCTCTACCTAATCCACTCACCCTTGCCTTAGTTCTTAACATGGTAACTAGAGCAGGAGGTCTCTAGGACCTAAGAATAAGGCCCACCTAACTGCCTGCCTTGCCTACTGCCCGCGCGCGCCTCGGCTGCAGTGCGCGTCACCTTTTTTTCGCGCGCGCCTCGCCTGCTAGCGCGCGCGCCACTGTTTTTAGCGCGCGCCACTGCTGTAGCGCCGTGCGCCGGCCCGCGTCGCCCGCGCAGCCCGAGTAGAGCCCGCGTAGAGCCCGCGCAGCCCGACGTCGCACGCAGCCCGCCGTCGCCCCGCGCGTCGCGTCGGCCGCCTGCGCGGCCCGCAGCTGCTTAGCGCGCTGCCTTAGGAGCTCGCGTGCGACCGCTCCTGCCTGCTGCCTGCTGTCTCCTGCCTGCTGCCTGCTACCCCGGTCTTTGCTTGTGGCCTGGTGCTTGCTGCCTCATTGTCTGCTGCCTCCTGCCTGTGCCTGCTGCCATTATGACGACGCCTCACGTTCTCGCGTTCGAGCCTGACGGTCGCCCCATAGAGTTCACTGTGTGGTTAGATGATCTCCAACTGTTCCTTTTGACCGATGCCAAAGAGGGCGTTTCACTGTTCGATTACGTGTCTGGCACTGCCGTTGCTCCTGCTGCTGATGCTCCTGCTCTCGAACGCTCGCAATGGCAAACTCGTGATGCTGCTGCACGCCTAGCTATTAGGAACCATCTGTCGATTACCGAGCGCGCGCATTTCAGCCAGCACAAAACTGCTAAGAAGCTGTACGACGCTGTAGTTGCGCGCTACTCCTCCCCGGCCACTGCAGCCATAGGTCGGCTCATGCTACCCTACCTGTTCCCCGACCTTTCCTCGTTCACCACTGCTGAGGACCTCATTTCCCACCTGTTCGCTACTGACACTCGCTTTTGTGCCGCCCTTTCAGCCGAGTTCTGCGCCGCTAAACCCCCCCCCCCCCCCCCCCCCTCGATGTACTTCACACTCTATTTCCTCGTCACCCGCCTCCCTGACACTCTTAGCTCAGTCAGGGACCACTTCCTCGCACTAGACCCTCCCACTCTGACTGTCGACGACTTCGAGAAGCACCTCCTCGCAGCAGAAAAGAACATCCTCGCTGTAGGTGCTGCTCGTGGCACTCCTCGCTCTCCCCTCTTTGAGGGGTGCTCCCCCTCCCCTCTCACCCCCTCCTACGCCTCTGCAGCTGCTGCTCACGACTACCTTGGTGCTGAGGAGGTCGGAGCTGCTTCCGCTCCTAGTGGGAAGCGTCGCAGCGGCAGGGGCGGCAGGGGTGGCAGGGGCGGTGGGGGTGGCGGTGGAGGTGGCAGTAGTGCAGGCGGCGGGGGAGGTGGAGGTGGTGGGGGTGGTCGTGGGGGTGGAGGCGGTGGAGGTGGTGGTGGGGGCGGCGGAGGCACTCGGAGCGGTGGAGGGGGTAGCAGCGGCGGTGGGGGAGGAGGGAGCGGTGGTGGTAGTGGTGGTCAGGGCCAGCAGCAGCCGCAGCAGCGTCAATGCCAGACCCCCACTTCCCAGCGGCTTCTTGACTGGTATGCCAGGCGTGGGGCTTCTGGGGGTCCTGGTCGCTGCCCCTATATCATCCGCACAGGTCCCCGTGCTAATCGCCAGTGCACAGGGTTTCACACTGAGCAGCGCTGCTTCGCTCGACTTAGCAACACCAAGCGCGCCAAGTTTCCTGATGCTACTGAGTTCCCCAACTGGGCAGAGCTACTTAGGCGTGATGTACCAATCTTTGATCTTGACTATGAGGCTATTCTTGCTGCTATGTATGCATTGTCTGTTAGTGCTGAAGGTGACTGCTACTTGTGTGTGCCGCCATATCCTGGTATAGTCCCTGGTATGGTGCATGCAGCACTAGGTGCTTGTGAGTCTGCTCCCCCTGGTATTGCGCCTGCATAGGCCTTGCACACTTTTACACTTGACTCTGGTGCTTCCCGCTGTTTCTTTCGCGACAGTACCAGAGTCACTCCCCTTCCTGCACCTGTTCTTGTCTCACTGGCTGACCCCTCTGGGGGCCCAGTGCTCGCACGGTCTAACACCCTGTTTCCGTGTCCGGCGGTCCCGTCTGGCGAGCTGTCTGGTCTCCACCTCCCCTCGTTCTCTACGAACTTGGTGAGCAACGCTGTCCTCCAGGATACGGGGGTTGACACCTTCACCCCTGGCCGGCAGCGTGTGGCAATTTGCACGTGCTCCGAGACTGGCCGCCACCTGGCCTTGTTCACTCGTGCGCCAGGGTCCAGTCAGTACACCCTCACCACTGCGTCACGCTCCGCCCCTTTGTCTCCCCAGTTACACGCATCTGCTCAGGTAGCTACACAATGTGAGTGTCGCCGGCTGTCGCACGACACTCTTCTGTGGCACCACCGCCTTGGTCACCCCTCCTTACCTCGCCTGCGTAGCATGCACTCTCGCTTCCTGGTCTTTGGTCTTCCCAGGTCTCTGCCTGCCCTCCCTCCCTCGCCTGCGCCGCCCTGCATTCCTTGCGTTGAGGGGCGGCAGCGCGCCGCTCGTCACTCTTCCTCGTTCCCTCCCAAAGAGGCTCCCCTGCAAACTCTCCACCTGGACGTGTGGGGCCTAGCCCGCGTCCGTGGACAAGGCCACGAGCGGTACTTCGTGCTGGTTGTCGACGACTACACGCGTTACACCACGGTCTTCCCCTTGCAGCGCAAGGGGGATGTCCCTGATGTTTTGATCCCCTGGATCCGCGCTGCTCGTCTCCAGCTCCGCGAGCGGTTCCAGTCGGACTTTCCTGTCCTGCGTCTGCAATCTGATAGAGGTGGTGAGTTCTCCTCAGACCTCTTGCCGGCCTTCTATGCGAAGCACGGCATCCGTCAGACTTTCACGCTTCCGGCCTCTCCGCAGCAGAATGGGGTTGCTGAGCGCCGCATTGGCTTGGTCATGGACGTCGCTCGTACCTCCATGATCCATGCGGCTACCCCCCATTTTCAGTGGCCGTTTGAGGTCTGGTACGCCGCGCATCAGCTCAACCTTTGGCCCCGTGTCTCCTTGCCGGAGACCTCGCCCACACTGCTGTGGACGGGGAAGGTTGGTGACGCGTTGCGTTTCCGGGTCTGGGGTGCCCGTGCCTTTGTCCGCGATATCACTGCGGACAAACTCTCCCCTCGCGCCATTCCTGACGCGCCTGGCTGGCAGTTTTACGACCCCGCCTCGCACTGTATCTTTGCGTCTCAGGACGTCAACTTTGACGAGTCGGTCCCCTTTTTCCGCCTCTTCCCCTACCGCACTGCTCCTCGCCCCCTCCTGCTGCTCTTTCTCACCCCAGGTCCTCCCCAGGTAGACCCCCTCCCTGTGCCAGGCCCTGCTCCTTCAGGTGTTTCTCAGGTAGACCCTCCCGTCACTACGCCTGTTGAGGTCACTAGTGACTCCGGTTCTGCTGGGAGTGGTGCTGTACCTGGGGGTGCGGAGCTTCCGGGTGCGCAGCGTGGGGGTGCTGAGTTTGGGGGTGCTGAGCGTGAGGAGCCTAAGGGTGCGGAGCCTGGAGGTGCTGAGCCTGCACATGAGGAGCCTGGAGGTCCTGAGCCTGGGGGTGCTGCGTCTGGGGGTACTGTGCCTCCGTTTGCGGAGCGTGGGGGTGCTGGGTCTGGGGGTGAGTCGCCTGAGGGTTTTGAGACTGCTGTTACGCGGTCTCCTTGTGAAAGTTAGAAGAGAGAAGAGGGGCTGCACTAGCAAGAATGGGGATACAAATAGCAAACCCTAGAAGGGTTGTACTCGCTATAGAGCACCCCACTACAGGCTAGAGCATAAGATAACATTCTGACACACCCCCATAGCCAAAGTGGGGTGTAATCAGCAGAGCAAGCAAAGCAGTACAAGCTCAGGGTGGATCACAATGTCACCACACATTCTGAGCACAAGTTCAAGAAGCAATAGTTTAAAGTTCAGAATTATGAGCAAAGCTAGTGGTAGTCACAACGGGCAAGTGAGGAGGAGGAGAGAGAGTGAGAGGAGAGGAGATAGGAGGCGACAGCTGAAGCTGCAGACACACGGGCAACAGGAGGCACACCGGCAAAGCGGCTACCGGAACAACTCTCCGGAATACTGGAGTAACTGGCCCCGCGGCTAAAGTAGCGGCAGACGAGCAACGGACCCACGGGCGGCTGGCACAGCTGGCTACGACTGGGCTACCGGAGCAACTCCCCGGAATACAGGTGCTGCTGGTGACACGACGACAACCTCCATACAGCTTCCCCACACTATCCCACTCCCCCTGGCACGCACCCGCTGCTACACCGCTAGCTCCACTCCCACGCACCCCCCTTAAACCCTAAACCCCAGTCTCCCACACATCCACCCCCCTCAGCGACAGCTGCAGCAGTGGGAGACGAAGGAGGAGGAGGAGAAGGGGACGGCACGCACAACCGACACCCCCACAACCATCACCCCCATGCCCGTCACCCCCTACTCACCACCCCCATAC